TTTATTCAGAAGTATTCAAAGATTTTTCTATTATAAAATGAATCATAGTTCATTCTGCAAATGAACACTCAACTAATTGTCTTGTAAAGGCAACTCAGTTTTAACATTAATGTTGACATAGGTATATATATATATATATATAATTCTCTAGTTTGGTTCATAATTAAATTCTCTATCGAATGATATATAAATAAACTACCAAACGATATAGATATGCTTTCATGCGCTATTGGCTTTTTTTTGCCATATATCGTCGTACAGGTGCCAAGTGAACTAGATTTCATGAACTGTAAAAGTACGGAAAAGCTTTTATGAAGAAAGCTGGAAGTTGTAGAAATCATTGATAACTATAGACTTTTCGAATGGTGATATTTACAAGTGTAAAGACCTTTTGGTTTTGTCATCGTTCAAAACTCATCTAAAAATAGTGTCTAGCCTTTTACTCTTGATTCACAGATGGTTACTAAACAAAAATCAATTCTCACATTTCGACGATTTCGAGCTTGAATAAAATTCCAAATATTGAGTTTACTAGATCGAAGACTGCTCTACAATATCCACGAAGACATCAAATTGTGAACTCTTATCCAAGTGATTTTACAAAGACTGAGTTGAGGTACCATCTCTTACTCTAGCTGCTCGCAGAATCAAAGAAAAATGTTCACTAGATCAACAATAATCAAACGTAATACATGAGCGAATACAGCGGATCGTAAAGTACAAGAACATATAACTGGAATTGATTGACATTCATAGAATAATGAAAAATTAATAATCACAAAATTTAGTAAGTTTTTAAAACTTCTTGTTCTTTTATTAATTTTGGCAACTTTCACGTACGATTTCGGCATACATATCTCTCTAAATGAAAGGTCGTAGAAAGTTAAGTTATTTTTGATTGTAGATACAGTTCATCGAAGCCTATAAGGGAAGATAATTTTGAATGGTTTGAATAACATTTATGTATTTTACCATATAAATTTCATGGAATGGTCTACTTGAGACACGCAAACATTGAAATATATAAGCTACATTTTTGTTTAAGACTGTACCTCACTATGTTGAGGCATTCATTAGATACTATCAGGAATATAAAACGAGTTGCTAGATATATAATTCATCTTGAGCACTACTGTATCAATTTGAACGAGCAATTATGTTTTTTTTTCCAGAAAACAGATTCATATGCACTGACAATTTTTTTATTTGCTATTTATTTGCTGTTATGTGTATGTATCATCTATTGGCTAATTATTGGTGTGTATGCTCTTACTCGAAAGTATCGTCAGCAACGACATCAAGTGAAACGAACCACTAAATGTAATAAATCTTCTCGTGTTGCTAAGGTCGGGTGGTGGTCAAAACAATGCTTTTGCAAGCTGAAGACGATACCAATCGCAGGCTCTATTCATGGATATCAAGAGGTCATGGTTTAGTTCATCTCCAAATTTCAATTGTAACATAGCATTGTTACTATCATTTTTGGAAGAAATTATGTTTTTTTTCTCAGCAAAGAATTTTTGCTTTAATCGAATTTTTCTATGTAGATGTCTTATTGTATTTTCTTGTACCATTATTGTATGCTTCCCAGGGACTTCAGAAGCCAAAACTGATATAATTTTCATGAATTTCACGTTAAAAACACGAAGAAACTGGCATTTTAGATAATGAAACGGATATCATTTTTGATATTTTTCCATTTCATCAATGAAATGGAAAAATATCAAAAATGATATCCGTTTCATTATCCAAAATGCCAGTTTTTTTATGCTTGAAGTCGCTGGGTGGTCTATTGCTTTTTGAATTTTTCTCTTCAATATTTGACTAATAATCTCGGCTTTATATATTGCTTGTCAAATAAACAAAGTTGTTGGCGTTACAGATAGATTTATCTCAGTCATATTAGTACTCTTTTCTTACTATCATAATGTGTTTTTCAATCGTTACATGACCTAGCATACAGTTATCTATCATCGAAGACTATTACAATGGTAAAATTTTCAAAATGTTGATCTCTATTTTTGAAAAAGTCATTCGATTTATATCCCAAAAGAATTACTTTTGAGTATCAGTTAGAGTTTCACAACATTTCTAAAAGATTCAGCTTAATAGTTTGTGCGGATCAGAATTTATTGGTCTTTTCAGACGAGATGCGGGCAACCTTCAACTCACAACTTTTTCCACTTTGTATGCTCTGTGAAAAGAGAATACTTCTCTACATATATCCTCAAATTTTGACATTATTTGAATATTCTTAGTCGGAGTTATAGCTGGCACAAGAATATTTTTTGCTGAAACATCGTTCTTCGGTGTACATCGTATTGTACACATTTTTTTGAAGATGATACATGAGAATCTCCAATCTTCTTTACGGCAAAAGATGGTGAAACAAATTCTCTATCTGATACACTTTCTCCGTGGTTCAGAAGTAAGTCTCATAGTTTAGTTTGAGGCTAAATGATCTATTTCACATGGAAAATGTTAGTCTTCTGACTGACATTTTAGTCTTTGTATTATGGTTTAGGTAAAATTTGGAATTTATAAGCCATAACCTAGTTTGATAGAGAATTTCAAGCTGTACAATTTTTCCATCAATTTTATTAGTCAGATGCGCTTTAATGAAGGTGCAAAAATGCTTTTGTCTGATTTCAATAGAAGACCAGCTATAGGACCAGTTGTCTTCGTTCAGAAAAGGGTGCGGCTGTGGATGTGGATGCGGGAGTTGAGTATGGGTATCAGTATTCATTTCTAGCACACCCACACCTAAATCAGAGACCGTCACAGGGCACTTTTTTCGCTCTGGTCTATCTGACAATACCCTGTTCTACCCAGATAATGATTCATACAAAATTTTTCGTTTTGTGCTGTCCTCAAGGCAAGACGTGGGCAGGGCATATAAACTCTGATCAACTATGGAATGGGTTGATAAGCTTACGAGAAATTTTGATCGCGTTTATATTCCATACTCCTACCTGTTTAATATCATTTCAAACCTATATGATCCATGGGTAAAAAAGACCATAAATTTGTTTAAAATCGATTAAAATGTATATAAGTCGTATTCAATTATAATCTTATTTTAAGCAAATACTTTGGCTTTTTCTGGTTATAGGATACTTTTCAAATTTCTTTTATCGATTAAAATTCATTGGTAATTGTTAATTAATAAAAATTGACTAGATTGTTTATTGATTAGAAAAAATTCGAAAAAACATTGAGAGTAAAAAAAAATCAAACTAGACAAAAAAGCAAATTATAATTGAGTAAAAATTGTGTCTTTTATATTTGTTCTTGATAAATAAATAACTCTTTTGAGCCCAATATGTTGTCTGTTTTAACATGGATGTACGACATTAGTAGCATATTGATATAAAAACAAGATAACCGTCAATGAAAACTGATTCTTTATGACTGAGTATCATCATTTGATTGAGTTGGGATCTGTTATCACCATTTAGCAGCAAGTCGAGATTCATTTTTTTTATTATTCGCTAGACTTGCGTATAGTTTAATAAGAGACGCTGAATCTTCTCGAAATTAAAATAGTTCGTATTGAACGATGTTGAATTAGAACGAGTATCACATACATAATTTCTGATGAAATCGATCGAAAACAATAAATCATCACTGGTTGGTAAAATTACATAAATGACACATGTTCTGAAAGGTTTATGTTTGCATTTAATAGACGATTTCGAATCAGTCTTGATGAAAAAATAAAGTTACCAAAGAAAACTATTTTTCCCTGCCTTGAAGACGGTCTCTAATTCTAACCCAAACCCACACCCTATTTATTAATTATTTTAAACATATGGTTAGACGCGTCACATATTTCATTTAAGTCGTCTCCAACACGAGTTTTAAATGCAGTAGAAGTACATTTAACATATATTTAATTTTTGTTCATATATTTGCATTGAATAATCAATTATATTTCAAGATTCGTTTTTGTTGAATATAGTGTTTGGTTCGATGATTCATGGAAATAATTCTTTAACAAGAATTCATCTTCTAATTCTGCTCTTTTTTTATCTTCGAAGTTTTATTGTTCCATGACAAAATCGAATCTTTGTTATTAAAAACAACCAATATGGCATCGGAAAGCTTCTTCATGAATGAATTTTCGATTAAAATAGATCGAAGTTGTTATTTTTACAATCAACTAGAAGAAATTTGTCTGGTGTCAAAACAACGTGATCATCGTTCATCTTGCGTCATTTCGATCAATCGATCGGTCATATTTACATATTTTATTTGTATTTATGCTGTCTTATTTCTTATGATGCGTCTTTTCTGTATTACAAGATATTCTCACGAAAATAATAAATTTATCTATGATGTAGGAAAAAGTTCATTTTAGTGGTCACAAAGTAAAGAACAACAAACAATTTCTGATTTCGGTTTCCATCTCGGTAAAGTTTTGTTTTGGGTACCGGTCCTATACATGTCAAATAGTTGCTCAACACAAGTTATTCACTGACGTGCATAGAATCTGTGATTATCTATCAATTAGATATGCATGACAAAAGCACATTCGTTTTGTCTCATTTATCAATTCACAATTTAAGAGTTTTTCACATATTACTTAGTTGCTTTGTTTATGATATATACTTTATGTCATTTATTCTTGATTAAAATAGTAAGGTTATAAGCTACTTGTTTTTTTTCTAATAACAAACATTTAGTCCATGTTCTTCATTGTTATTTAGATTTTGGATGAGAATATTTTGCTTTATGACTTGGATCATTAATTGTTTTACATTTGGAACCATATTTACAAGGCGTGCGATGATCAACATGCCGATCTGATGAAGTTGACTTTGATTCTATTTATTTAAACATTCATATATAAATAAATATTGAATAGTATAATTAATTCTTACCTTCTGATGTTGCAATTGGTGTTTTTCCAAAAACTTTTTCTCCATGAGAATATTTTATTCGATGTCTATTTGATTTATCTTGACATTTTGTCTGATTGCGACATGGTACAAGAAAATCAGGTAGATTTGTATGACGATATTCAGCTCGATGGAAAGGATCAGTTAATTTATTACAATTTTTATCATAAGTACATAAAGAAGATGGATGAATGTCATGAGTAAGATGTGGTTCTTTGTTTCGACAGAGTTCAGAAAAACGACATGGATGTGAAAATTTTGAATTATGACTTGTTTCTGATCTATCAGTTGCATATTGAAGAAGACAGTTGATATTATCAGGACAAGGATCTAAAGAAGAACTATCACCATTACTATCTCCACTAGGTCCTTTAACATGTGATGCACTAGATACTATTGAAACACTTTTCTTGAAATCTTTATCAAATGTTGGATGTAAATTCTTTTGTTTCTCAAAACAAGCTATTAAATTTCGAATAGCTGCTTTTTGAACACCAGCAGTAACATGAATAAACTCTAATTTTGCTAAATCAAGTTCTGTTTTACTGAATTCACAAGATATCTCTTCATGATTGTAGATTGAATTCGAGCCAGCTTGACGAAGAATAACTTTACCAGTTGAACGATGAATTTCAAGACAGTAAGTTATAAAATCATCGATATTACATCCAATATGAAATCTATTTGATTTAGCTTTGTATTCATTTTTACTAACAAATGCATGATGTTGAATAGGTTGTCCACAATTTAAATAAGTAGTCTGTTCGTAATAAGTAGTATCATATGATACACACTTAGGCGCTATATAACAGATTAAACAACGAAGATTTGGTTGATGTTTTTCATTTAACTCTATTGGTTCATTTGATAATGCTAACATCATATCTCCATTCATGACTTGCCAATAGATATAAGCTATATTTTCATTTGGAGATTGATGATGATCAATACGATATTGTTCATAGGCTTGTGAAATAGTCAGAGGTAAAACAAAACTATAATCAAAATTGGTTCCAGGTATTGTTATAATAGTACCTTGAATAGGTCTTGCTGGTGGATAATGAACATCTCGATCATATCGTTTGAATAATTCGGCTACAACATAAGTTTGATAGTCAGCGCGTTCTTTTGATGTAGGTGTTGGACCAAATGGACCCATTGGTTGATTAGCTTCACCTTGATGTGGTGTAACAGTAATACTAGTTTTAAAAACTGCATTAATTGCTTTACGTGTATCAGAGTTAAGTGAATCGAATATATTTTGTGGAATATAAATATGATCTATATAGTCAAGTGGAATCAATTGAGGTAAATGTGCTTCAATATTTTGATGTGAATCAGTTTGTATATAACGTTTAAGAATTTTATTAAGATCAATATCTAAAGATTTTGATTTTAAAGTATAGCTTGTAAGTGCAATTAATTCTAGAGCAATTGCATAATCATATCCAGGAATTGAAGCATGTAATTTTGAATTGTGATATAAGTTGACACGTTCTGATGGCGTTCCTGGATCATCACCTAACCATGGACGCCATTTATATGTATTGCCACTAATGAAAGATGTTGCTGCTTGAATAGAAAAATCTGCATCAGGATGATGAAGAATTTCTCGTTTAAAAACAATAAATACATCTCCATAATAATGTCCTAGATGAGGACCAAGAACACTAAAAACATGTTTATCAGTACCTAAGGCTTTGTCAGGTGCATGACCAATTCCTGCTGGATTCGAGTGAAGTTTAATTGAGGCTTGCGCAATTTCAATTGCTTTTGATTTTAATGCAGTCAGATCGTTTTGCGGTATTGTATTTAACAAAATTTTTTCTTTTGCTTTGATGATATTGATATGAGATGCAGAAATTGGACGAGGTGGTAGAGATGGTGTCGAACCTAAATCTGGTGCTATTGGAGGCGGAAAGTTAGCCTTTGCATATTCAGCACTAACAATAGCAGTAATATATTCTCTAGCATGTTGTTCGTATTGTGGGATATGTAAGTTATCAATACGACGTATTCGACTATGTTGCATAACACTATTAGCAACGAATATTGGTTTTTTTAAATGTTCCATATAATCTCGGCTCATGACATGTCCATGAAGAAGAATTGATTCAAATATAATTGGATTACATCGATGTACAGGTTGAACAGTATGAAACCAATCGAGAATTTCACGTGGAACTGATTCGGATGGTAAAGGTTGCCAATTATTTTTTTTGACATAATCAAGAATACGAGCAATACTATTATTTTGATTTTGTACGAAATTAATACTTTTATTCAAAGCATCATAACGTACAACACCACTATCTTCGTAAGTTACGGCATGACGAAATTTGATACTATGATCTAATTTCTTACGATCATGACATTTATCAGCATATTTACACATACGTCGAATATCAACAATATCGGGATGTGTATATGAATTTAAATGTTCTTCTTGATTAAGTTTTATACATTTATCACCATATGGACAAAGACAACGAGCTATATGAATAGACTTTTCTAAATGCAATGATGTATTATCAGTGCAATTGCGACCAAATCGACAAACATGAGCAAATTCAAGACAATGTTGATGGATATCTTTTGATAAAGTATGAATATCAATTGCTTCTGAAAAAGCAATATAAGTTGGACAATGAAATGGAGTACGTGGGCAAGCAGTAGGAAAAGGATGTTGCAATTCAGTTGTATGTTTCCTATTATGAAAATTAGTACAGTGATTTCCATACGAGCAACGAGGTATACAATGACGATATGTATCACAATGTTTTTTAACATGTTTTTGATAATCCATACATTTTTTTCCATCCTTACACAATGGTAAATGACGATATTCTTTTAAATGGTTATCTTCCATGTCTTCACAAGTAGCTCCTTGTTTGCAATACGATGGATGTTCAAATTCTTGAGCATGTTTTTTATTATCAATATTTCGACATTCACCACCATATTGGCATTGATTTCGATGTAGAAATGAAATCATGTGAACAATATCATTTGTTAAATCACATTTACCACTAATAGCTACACTAGGACAACAAGGTGGATGAGAAAATTGACGAGTATGATTAGGATTATTAATATCGCTACATTTAGCTCCAAAATTACATGGTGTTGAATCAAATATATAAACATCAGCAACATTTAATCCATCAGATGAAAGTCGATAAGGACCAAACATTGTGTTTGCTTTATTCATTGGCATCATGGGTTTTGCAGATTTTTCATTTAATAGATCTACAAATGGTTTGAAATTACCTTCAGGATTTAATCGTTGTCCTGCATTATGATCATCAACAATAGCAAATATAATCGTTTCGAAAAAGCCTGCATATTGATCAATAACTGAAGAAAAAAGTTTTGCAACATGAATAGGTGGATTATGAAATGCACCACAACCAAAAGCTGATAAAACAAGACTATCATGTTTATGATAATAGGCAATAGCAAAAATATTTTCAATTTTTTTTCGTGTTCCAACAGCATATTTCGGTGCTAACCAATTTTCTTCTAATTTAGGATCTCGATAGGCAGCCATTGCTACAGCACAAACATTTTCTAATGGTTTTTCCATATAATCATAACCAGTATCTTGAGAATGACGAAAAAAAGTTAATCCTGATGTGTAAATAGCTCCATATTCATCCATTGGATACATAGTCGTTGGATCAGACAAAGATTCAAATTGACCATTAGATGAACAATAAACACGTGATGATTGCTCTGATAGGAAATCATCAAGACCAATATCAAGACTTCGAAAATAATCAGATCGTCGAAAAAGATTCTCTTCTTGTGCTCCATCACCTTTACGAAATCCACCACCTGGACTAGTTGCACTAGCCATATTGAGAAGAAGTGGTCGTTTGCCTTTTTTAAGTAATTTTTCACAAACAGCAATACAATCATCTTTAACAACAGAAACTGTTGTTTTAGGATAAGGAGTAGTCATTAAAGGTATTGTTCCATCTTTTTCTAACTTCGATTGATGATTATACACAATTGTTTTGAGTTTATTGTTCAAATTCAATTTTACTTCTCGATCTCCAATTAAGTAACGTTTTTTGTGTACAGTGCCAAGTGTATTTAACATAACTGTCACTTGAAGTTGATGTCGTAGTTGATCAAGTATTGTACCCTTTTGATCGCATGTACCTTTAATATTATCACTGCTGTGTTTAGATGGCGTTGCATGTAGCCATTGCTCAAGCCATATTTTTGCATTCCACTTATAACGAAAAATAGAATGTTCAGGATTGACAATGAATTGCATAATGTCTGGTTTATATTTAGACATCTGTGTGGCATACCATGTATTAGCATCAATTTCACTTTCTTCAGGATTCTTTGAAGCAACATATACTTCCATATGAAACATAGACTTGTCACCAACACGAAGGTCTCCATGTTTTACACAATCATCAAAAACATTTTTATCAGATATTTCGAGAATAAGATTTTCTCCACTATGCTTATGACCTATTACTTTACCAGCAAGTATTTGGTGGTTGATTATTGTTTGAATAGAAAATGTTTGTGGAACAGGACTAATGAGTAGAAGACAAGTAAGATTATCTTTCTTTGATATTGGTTTACCATCTAGATAAATATAACTTATTTGTGACCATTTTCGTGCTGTACCAGTAGCAAGAATGCATGCATTACCAGTTTGTTTATTTATTTGAATGTAAAGAGATGATGATGAAATGTGTGATAGTTTACTAGCAATAGCAATAGCAGCTTGCAATTGTTCTTGTGTAGTTGAACGAGGTACATCTTCAAGAAAACTACAATCAGCACAAAAATAGATTTGACCGATTTGACTTTTAATTTTAAAATCTTGGTGATGATTGTTACTGAGTAATTCATCTAATGATGCTGAAACAAGACGATAAATATTTGGAAATTGAATATTTAATTGATCACAAGCAAGTGGTTTTCCTCCCTTGTGTAACTCCATCCATCGGCGAGTAATTTCTTCGGGTGTTGGTAAAACAAGATCGTTTTCTTCTTTTTCCATGTTTATTACGATATAAGAAACAAGTTCAAGTGCATCAACGAATGATATCGTATTATCTCCTTTTTTGGGATGCAGGAAAAGTTTAACAACGTGATTAATAAGATGATCTTTTATTTGATTAGAGACATGCATGACACCAATACCTAATTTCGAGTAACACTTTATGGCGCTTATTTCAATGTTCAGAGCTGTTTCAACACGATGACGAATCAAACTTGCTAGTTGATTATCATCTTCAATGTCTAAAGGCAAATCAGAAATATAAACTGGTACTTGACGTTGTTGATGCAATGATGTAGAAGAAGTAGATGATTCTGCTTTATCTTTTACCGGCTTTAATTTGATGTTCGTAGTAGAGACTGCTTCTAATGAATTCATGTCTTTTGTGTACGATGTGGATGCCGAGCCAATTTTAGGTAAAGGCAATCGGTCGAAAGTTGACTGAGATGGTGGATAACTTTCATCATTAAGTCCAGGATATATTTGTGGTACTGTCTTGGAAGATAAACTCGATAAAGATGGTGAATGATCTATCGGTTGTAAAGTTCTATTTGATTGTCGAGCTGTATGTCGTTTTTCGTTAGTGGATGAGTTTGCTAGCTTACACGTCATGCACACTATAGCTGAACTTTCATTATGATAACCACATTTGTCACAATCCCATTCGGTGTTCTCTTGTTTATTCCAGTTTTGGTCATTCGATTTTACTCTCATTGTCGTTTGATCCTCATTATTATTTTCTGTCACAGCATTTGAATGACGAGAATTGTTTTCATTTTTGTCTATTTCGCTAGCACCAGCGGAGTGGGACTTATGCGATGCTAATTCTGAAGCAGCACGATCGACTTTGTCACTCTACCAAATGAAAAGAAAACAATCAGACTTCGAAAAACTTTTAAAAAATATTCTTTCTTTGTGTTTCTCTCAATGCAGCATTCAAATATTTTCGATCAGCTATTATTTTTGTTAGCTATCACTCCGAAAAAGATATTGACATGAAATCTGAGATTTGGTCTAATCTTAGATTTACATAAACTGAGATTTGTTTGATAGAATAGACAAGTAAAGAAACATTATTCGATGTTTAAAATACATAGGTCTGTTTGCAAACTATGACGAGATCTGAATGAGATATTGGCAACCTGAAGAGGACTCGTTGTATCAAGAGTTTTTTCTTATGATTGCTCATAGAAGTTTGGACTTACTTCAAAGTACTTAAAAAAATTGAACGATCTAGTGTAAATTTAGAAATGTTTTAGAGATTTATATCATACAGCCAACAGAGTTTTCTTAAACATATTGCTGGTTGGATGTGGAAGTTCGTATGTATGATGACTTCCTCTACCGACACATGTACACTCATACCACTGTTTAAGCAGAGTTGGGAATTGTCTTCTGAAAGTTTCAGCAGCAGACAGTTGACAAAACAAAAAAGTTGCACCGTTGACCATCATGAACTTGTCAAGTCTCTGAGGTCTCCATCTCTCCAGTAAATGAGATCACCTTTCAAGCACTGAATGGTCATGAGTCGGACTAAAATTTCGTGCTCAAAGATCAATAATGGCTCTTAGATTACGTTAAACGTTAAACATAAATCAGTTAACCTATTTTTGCTATTTTTCTGCCAAATGAAGAAATCATCTTGATTTGGAGAGATTTCACTGGAAAAACCATTTCGAACAATTCGAAGTTCTCAGGAAAAACTAAAATCTAGTTAGCTTCGTAGAAAGACATAGTATTAGGACCGAAATTTCTATGCATTATATTAAAAGTTGTTCCAGATAATTTATAGCGCAGGAATGTCTAGGGTGTGGGTGTGAATAGAAGATTCATACATCCATCCTTGATTCAATTTTTAATGATAATATCGATTTATCTAAATAGGATTATTTTCATGCGTTGTTTTTATTTGTTCTTTATGTCAGACTTATCTCTCGGAGGTTCATCTATCGGTACAACGTTTGGGATAGAGTAAAAGCAACGTAAGCTAGGACTTACAGGTCTATTATACTCGACAATCAGAGGGTTGGATAGAATAGGGCCAGAGTAAAGAAAAATTCGACAGGATATGAGTGTAAATCTTCTATTCACTCACGCTTTCATGCAAATTTGGTTTTTACTAATACCTGATCACAAGTTAAAACCCAAAAAATAGCTATACCACAAGAAGGACTCTGTCTGAAGACGAATTATCTAGGTTTCTACTAAGCTCATCATGTCCTACAAATGAGCGAAAGTTTGGATTGATTGACGACTAACACTTGTAGACCTTCCTTCGTAAGTAAAATAAAATAAATGTCACATTGTATGTTTTACTTATTGAGAAGAGTTCCTAAGATTATTTCTCTAACATCGACTTTTTTAGGAAATACTGCTTAATATTGCTGATCATGAGAACTCAAGTTTAGATTGAAAAAGTACAGAAAGAAGCAAATATTTTCATTCCCTCTCGCTATTAAGAATAATAAACATACATTTTTTACAATTTTACTTTGTGTAAGATCACATGGATTGTTAAGAGTCTGAATATTTTTGTAGAAGGCGTCCGCCAGAGCTGTTTCTTTGCGACATATTGGACAATCTTTTGACTTTCCTTTAGTGAGTCGTTGTTGAGCACACTCACGATGAAATGTATGACCGCAAACTGTTGTTAATTCTCTTTTATTATCTTTACCCAAAGATTTTTGGCAAATTGAACACTTTCCTGTCGTCGTTGACATTTTTAATTTATGAAAATGAAAAATTTTGTTCCATACCAGGTCTTTTTAAATGTAACGTTTCACTACCCTCACTTTAACTACCAAAGAAAAAAAATAAAAGCACTTTTCAGTTGCTCCACGATCGCGTCTCTTATGTTTTGGTAGAAAATGACATCTAGAAAAAAAATAATTCTCTTTGTTTGATTGTACGAAAAACAAAAAGTCATTGTTTGATCATCGAACGGTTGACAATTATACAAGTTGGAAAATTTTAACAAAAAAGTTGAATCAATGTTGGAAGAAACACTAATGTTGTTATGCTTCTTGCCACAAGGTTTTTTTGCTTTGAAAAATCGAGCAAATGAAAAAAAAAGTTTTTATTGGTTTTACTAGAAAGCAGAACATAAATGAATTATTATTCACTAAGAGACTGAAGTTCGTAAATAAGCAATGCTGCATGGCAAAAAATTTTAAAAGAATGAGAACGAAAGTCTACAAAATTAAATACTGTAATGAAATCTTTTTTATTGAAAATAACAATAAAAACATAAAAGCTAATTCATTTTTGAATCAACACCAAAAGCATGCTATCTTTATTTAATTTTCAAAGTACTGCCAAAAAGAATATTCATGCTTAATATCTTGTTTCTTATTACTGCTTTGAATACAGTAGAAACATCGACATGCAATACCATTATATTTATTCTGTTCAACATGTATAATTAAAACAGGGATAAAAATGACGAATCAGTAAATAAAGACAAAATGTTAAGATTATTGTTGATGTTACCATGAGTCTTAAAAGTGCACAATATCGAGTTCTTTGCAAATTGTCGAAACTCAATTTTCAGCATTGAAACACTGAATGAACTTTAATCTTTTTCTGTTTTCAAAGATAAAGACCTAGAGAATAAAAAATAGAATTCATTTCTTGTAATATTTTTTCTGATGTAATATTTACGTTTCGTAGTTTTGAAGTATTGTTTATCAGTTCATAGATATTACTAGCTATCGTAATTTTTTAAAATTCATACTTACATTCTTCCAAAGATCGCTATTTCGAAGTTTAAGTCAATCCATACAGTCGTAGTTGAAGTTTTCAATAGAATATTATAAATTTTCTTAGTTCTAAGGAATGTTCAAGTAAAATATAGCGATCAAGATCATACCAATAAAAAATTAGTTAAACATACAATTGAAAAAAATGTGTTGAAAGGTCAGAGATAATTCTAAACTCAGTTAAGTTTTTGTTTTGTTTTAGCGACGGCAATTCTGCCAATCGGTTTACACCTCTACAGACATCAAACGCTTTCTTTTTCTATTGATATAAAAAATGCATCCCATAAATTTGATTAGAAACTAATCTTTAATCCAAACTTGATTGCAATGATGATAGAATCATTAGAATTATAAAATTCTTGGTGAAAAAAAAACGACCTGACTGACTTACACACCAAATATATCTTTCGGTTTTATGTTTAAAAAAGTCAACTGTTGATTACTTTCTATAACAGGTCACATGCATAAATAATGAGGGCACATGGTAATAAACTGAAGAAAAACTAAACAACACTTTATAACTTCGTCAATAAGTTCATGAGAATCATACTTTGATTGCTCAATGACTAATTGTAGATCCTCTATTCCATCGTTATTTTATATCAGTTTCTTCCATAACAATGATTCAATTGTATTCATTTACTGCATCAAATGTCTTAAGTAGATAAAAGATCATTATAAATTTATGTTGCAAACTATTTCAATTTATTCACTTTGATAAAAATTTACGTGGTCAGGCATCAAATTTCTTACATGTCTGTGAGAATGTACTAAGGAATATACAATGCAAGAAAAAATGAGAATATTACCGATGAATAGAAATTGGCGGTTTGTAAATCGAGCTCTAACTTGAGTCTTTCTATTGATCATCAAGAATTAATCAAATTCTATCAGTACTATTAATATCTGATCGATTCATCTTTCGATGTAAATTATTATTTACTACTAAGAGAAAACTTGATCATCAATGATAAAAGCCATAATAATCACTTCTTTGTTAAACAACTCTTAGAATAAATTTTTCTGCTTGCTTTTCTTACAAAATCCAGACGTACTTTAAATATTAATTATATTTTCTCGATTGAGAATGTTTGCTTTTCTTCATTGTTTATGTATGTATCATTTTGTATTTAATAACATTTATTCAAAAAATTTATTTTCTAAACAATAATTACAAAAAGGTATAAAAGTGCAAGTTATTATTTCTGTTGTACGTGTTCGAATTCGTCTGTAGTGGATGGTATATCCGATGGAGTTTCTATTAAAATGCAAATCGAGTACTGAAATTTCATACGATGATAAAAGTTTATCAGATAAAAAAAAAAGAATGATTGTTAGCTATTCGACGGTTATGTATATGACATTTCCACAGTAAAGATATGTCCAGGTGCTTGAGATGCATAATAAATTTTAATGAATTGAACTTGATGACATTGTTTATATTTTCTTTGAAATAATATACTGCGTGAAGCATAAATAACACTACGATAAAAGAATCGAAATACCTCCATTTTGATTCTTTCAAATGGACTGACATTTGTTGGTTAGTGATAGAAGTTTATTCAAAGTTGTTGTTTCATACGAATATGGTAAAAAAATACTACTATAAAGTACTATTGTTGACCTCATGAAAGAAATTGTACATGTTGTTAAAAAAGAAAAAGAAATATATGGCGTTCTAGAAGATAATTTCAGTGATCACTGAACAAAATACAAAAGTAAATGTAATAAAAAACAAACTCTATGAATGATATCGCATTGTTGCACATAGAGCAAATCTTCAAGATTGGCTAGTTTAAACGTTGAAAATCGTTTCTGTTAATTCAAACGTCCAGTTGAAGCCTTGATGCTTGAAAATTCGAAATATAACAACGTTGACTTTAAAACTAGCTGATCCTGAAAATTTACTTTATGTGTATCAATGTAATAGCATTCATGAAATTTGTTTTCATGTCTTTTTTTTTTATTCTCCTCAGTGACAACTGAAAACTATCTAGGAGAGCACTATCAATGTATTTTTTTCTTACTTGGCAAGAGATAAAATGCCTGCAACAATTGAATATTAGATAACAAGAAATTATTGAAAGAGAAAGAATTGTAAAATTGTTGATCAATTTTAAAGAATTCATGATTTTACTTTTGAATTTATAAATGAAATGTTTTCATTCTCGTATAATATTTTGTTTTTTTATTAGTTATTCATGAAAAAAAAAAGTCAAGGAATCCTTAAATGATAATGATTTACTGACAATTACACAATCGAGAATCAATAATTTAAAATTTGTAAATTAATAAATCATACCTGTTTTCAATACTTCGGGTGATTCAAGTTCATTGCATGAAGTAACTAGGTTAGTTAGCCAATTTTTTTAAAGAACCAAGCTAACAAACCTACTACCTCAAACTTGAGCTCGATCTCTACTTGCTATTTCTTTTTCCGTATATCGTTAAATCAATCTAATTAGTTGGGTGATCGTTCGATGACTTTCCAGTAGAGTATGAACCAGCACTAACTGCTTGGTGCTAGTTCCATATCCTACGGGTTTAGACAAAGACGACGAATGAATGAAAGTATATAAAAAAAAAGAGAAGAAAAAAAAGGTGAGTCCACCATAAGGTTTATTGATCATTCATAATGATTATATAAACTGTATGTGTGTGCCCGAATCAAGCCGTCTATTTATAAATCGAATGAAGAAAATATGAATCAGCTGGTGGTTGTCAAGGCAAAACTATTCAATAAACGAACAGCTCATCAAGATGAAAACAGACATTCATTTGTATGCAAAAGATTCTTTTCTTACAGCTTGGAATGATTTACAAGACAGATTACTAAAAATAAAAGACAGAAATAATTCTTTCCATCTCTTGTATATATATATATAAATATATTTATACATATCGTGCGATACAAAAGTACACCGATATACGATGATACTTGTACATAGAGAAATGTATACAAAAGAAAACGGTGTCCCATTAGCAAACATTGAATCCTATAATATAATAAAAAGAAAATAAGATATGTGCAAATGGCCGCTTTTTGTTTCACCATATACACAGAAAGAAATGATGATATAGAGAGTTTGTCCCGTATCTCTTTCTTTCTCTGATAAAAAACGGATGACAATCCTATGTGGTGTTTGTATTTCTATTTTGATATACAGGCAAAAAATCCACACCTGTAAAGCATACGCAGATATTTCTCAGATGATCTGCTTTCGTGAATGATCCAAAAATGAATAGAAAGCAATACTAGTCTTTTAAATTTATTAATTGAACTAAATAAAATTAGATTGTCTATATTTGTAAAAAATACATGTATAATTATGAATTACTGTCGATGCTTTTATTCTTATTTTAAATCATGAAGTAATTGTTTTCAATAATGATTTTCACGAACAACAATAATTTAGCGAGAGAAATCTGTCGACTGATTCCGAACTTCCAGTGTCATCATTTGGCTGTAAGTAGGTCTTAATGAGAGTAAGAAATCTCTAAAAGTCTTCTTGTTTATAGCTCTTCGTTTTCGAGATGTGATTCATAGCATATACGAAAAGAAAAGTCATTCGTTTTTTTGTTTCAAATTATAATTCATAAACTATCATCATAATACTATTTTGATCTAAACTAACATATGAATTCGACATGGTAGTATTATATTAGTATCATTCGCTCATTTCCAAATGACTGCACTTTTCTTTCCCAAACTTACTTCATACGAATGACATATAAATAGATACCTAGAGATGAGTACTGTACATTTTCTATGTTGTAAAAGCTTAATTTTATTCTAGTTTATTTATAAATAGTGAAGAGAGACGTTAAATTCCTGACTTGATCTACTGTTTATAGTGTTGCATCTTGTTACGTCTTTGTTACTTCTACATAAACTAATAATGCTCTTGAGTTGTTCCTTCTGTCATTTCTGACTTTAGTATTTTATCATTTTTTTATGCATTAGCGAAACTGCTAGAGACTGAGAGCTGTTCGTTATTACAGTTTTAAAATTTCATAATTTAATATAGTTAATAATTTAAATTCTCTGTTTGATTTATTTCTAGTTTCTGGCTATTTGAATACTGTATGTGAACTATAAGTTTAAACAAAAATGAAAAAAACAAACTTCACTTGTTTTTGTCAAATCGTTAACCATATCTCAGAAATGAAGATTAATAGGTATGAACACTGTTAAAGTTTTGTTAGTCTCACTAAGAGTTTTACTTTTAACTAAAAGACGACGTCGAATGCATAAGTTGGGTTACATCTCTATTACAACTATTATTGAGAATAATGATTTTATTATTCATTCGTATCATTCTATAAATAAAGAATTCTGATAAAATTCTTCTACATTTATAACATTATGCATTTGTACAACAAAATCAGAATGAAAAATTAACATTTGTTCAAGAATAAAATACTTGATATATGTGAACTGATAAGAATGATTATTATACTAGGTTTGTAAAATGATTTATTTAGGATTGTAGTCAAATTATTTGCATATAATATATTTACGATCTGAATAAAATAGAATTTCATCTAAAAGGCATTGTGTAATTCTCTATATAGAATTATACGAATCGTTATCAACGACTATGTCAGTACTGTTTTGCTTGATGAAGTTGTTAAAGGTGCAGGATATGTAGGACAGACACAAGTGCAACTTTTGGCAAAGCTGTTTACAAGGGTACAACCCACACAGATCTTGGTGTTTGTAGTAGTCAAAGAGGGAGTTGATATACTCGAACATCCAACACTAATTCGAGCTCCATCGATGATAGTTCCTAGAACAAAAGGTGTACAACAATTTTATTAAAGACTCTCGTAGACAAAAATATATTTTATGCATAATCGAAAACATTTTCATTTTTTTCATTACTTCTATATAAGTCATAAATGTGTAGAGACTTACCATCCTGAAGTCGAATTCGTGCTTGTACAAAACCTGTAGCTGGATCACGAACATACAATAGAGGACGATCGTCAAGACCACCGGATGTTGACCTAACTTTCAATCCTGTAGTACATCCATTCGAACAATTGGCTACAGAACTCAATATGACTGGTGTAGTAATCTCACAAGTATCACCATTCAAAAGACCAACTGAACCTTTTAAGGATAAAATACGTGCATTAGCACGTTGTTTCATAATTTGTGTTTCTTCTTGAATACGTTTTTGTTCATATGTATCTGTTCGATTTTTAATAATACGCATGAGATTTTCCTTGACATCAAGATCTTCTACAATCTCATACCAAGGAGTAAATTGTTCAATTTTTAATAGAGCAGGATTGGGACCTAAACTTTGTTTCCATGCTGTAACATTAGATAAAGATGGTTTACCACCAAGTTTATGATCGATAGATATTTTTCGTCGTTCAGCATAAAAACTATTTCCTAAAGTTTCAGCAAGAATATCTTGTTTGAGATATTCATCAAGATTTTCAGATGTGATAGAACCATTAAAAGAAAAGACACAATCTTTGAATAAAACTTGTTGTTCATGCATACCTCCTAAAACAAAAATTATTCATTGAATAAACACTAAAATAAAAATTTGAAATTACGTTATATTATTTAAGAACTTACCGACAAGAGATTTTAATACGATATGTGTGCCCCAATTTCGAAGAAAACTATCATATATCATTTCATTATAAACTTTTGGTAATGCATTAATAGCACTTGTTGCATATTCATTTAATTTCAATACTTCAACTTTAAGTCGATATAAAACATATGGTTTTTGTGTAATTGCAATAGCTTGATCATCAGCAAAAAAACGTGCTTCAATATCTAAAATAGATTTTGAATGACCCAATTCACCACCTAACCAATCACCTCTTGCTTGTCCATATTTCCAATGATTTTCAAGTTCACTAGCAGTGAGAAAAGTACGAGCGACAGGTTCATTGTCTTTTTCATCTACTGGTAAAACAGATATTTCTCTTGGATACCAATATGTTTCATTAGTCACAGGATCTGACCAAAATGTAGTATTATCATGAGTAAAATCAATAGCTGGCAAGAGTAAAGTACCTTTTGTGATATCAATAGTCATACCAACACCAACAGGTAACTAGAACAAATAAAAAGATACATACATACAATTCAATTTGTTGCAATTAGAGCTTTAGAAAAACTAAATTAACTTACACGTCGATAGACAGGTACGAAATCTGCCTTTCCTGTTGAACCTACACATGTGGATCCACTGTATCCAACGTATGGACAAAGAGCTTTTCGAATAATTGCATCACTATTTGGCGGTAACTTTGTTGAGTTGGACACTGATCGTCGAACTCGATTACGGCTACATTTAGTAGGAGGTGGACCTCGAACTGATTCAAGTTGAGCAATATATTGTCGATTTTCAAGTTCTGATTTTCCACTAATGTATTTAATAGCTGCTTGAAGTGCTGATTTTCGATTGCCTTCTGGTAGTAATTCGTATAGAGGAACAAGTCGATAAGATATTGGTCTTGGATTATTTTTGACTGTCGGAGCCCATTCTTCCCATTTGTCAGGTTCAATATATTCTGTTCCACCAAGTAATTGGGATGAGGAAATAGAAAATTTTTGAAAACGTTTATCTACTTGACGCTGATGTTCTTCACTTGTAGAACCGAAGTGGATGAAACCAAGGAAACTTGCTAAAACTTGCACAGTTATCCAGACTTCTGTATGTTCATATGTTAAACATTTTTCATACCAAGTTTCTGCCGAAACTTCACCTCCCATTTGAGATGCAACGACTATATGTGTCCCAAAAGAAGTAATAAACGCTTCCCAAACGGCAATATCATTTTGATCAAACGTTGAAGGAAGATTAGCAAACGACTTTGCAGCAATAGGATTTAATTTTGGAAGGGGAAAAATTGATACAGAAAGTGTATACCAACCAATTTCTTTTAAACGTAATACTAAATTGTAATAGTCTTGATAGAAACGTCGATAAAACTCTGTTGTACGTTTTTCAACACGCTTTCGACTTAGAAAACCAACTTGTTCCCACACTTCAATTCGCGTCGTATATCGATAATAATCTTCTACAGATGTTACTGTCACCATTGCGTCCTAAATTGTTTCAATAACTGAACATCATAATGTGTACATGTTTACTCACCATAGTTAATGATTCTGGCGTATTTGTAGCAAAAAAACCATTTGGTAATGAATAAGAAAGACTTTGATTATATGGATCAATCCAAAGTTCATTCTGACTTGAATTCGATATATCTAAAATGCATAGACGACTTTGTAGAGTAAGCAAATCATATCCACATCCGACCACATCAAGACCAAATATAGGTCTAATTGGTTTCGATAGTGGTGCATAAAAGCGAGTCATTTTTTCTCGAGAATTAAGTTGAGCTAATGTTGGTAGAAAACCATTGTTAAGATAAAAATCAATTGTTCGACGAAGATGTTCTTGTACTTGACTATTACTTCTTATAAGATTAGCAATATGAGATAGAGTACGATTGATAACAACAGGTTTTTCACCTGCATTATTTATCCATGTTCTGAAAACATCAATAGAAAAAGTTAGTAATCATTAAATAAAAATCATAATTTACTGTAACATTGGTTGATTATTAACATTGACTATGGATGGTTGAAAAATAGACATCGTATTCGAATTTTTTTGAAATTTTTCTGTAATTTCTTCAGCTTGACTTTTATTTTGAAAAGTAAATTCTTTATATTGTGCTGAAAGTGAAATTTGTTGAGCCAATTCTTCATATGTTGAATTTTTATGATAATTTTCAGTAATAAATGTATATAAATGAGCTATGCCACCTACAATCACATTTGATACAAAATAAGTTCCATAATTTTGAATAAAATCATTATAAAATTGTTGATGTACTTCAGATTTTGGATTAGCAGCTTGAGATATCAATAGATTAACGCTGGCATTAAACATTGGATCAAATCTAAGACAAAATTGAATAGAACTTTGACAAGAATAATTCTTTACTTTAAAACAGATGACGATGGAAGTTGAATTGAATAAAGACCCCACCAAATCGTTGATGTTCCAACAGCTTGTGAATGTTTAGTAATTGCTTCATAGACGCGTTTTAACATTTCATGATATTCAATACTGAACGATGGATCACTCAATTCTGAAATTCCACTATCAAATGAATTTGTCTGGAAATAACTGAAAAAAGATACAAAATATTTCTAATGCAAAACTTATTTCAAAAACAAAAATAAACAAGTAAATCAGAATACCTTTCATAAAATTGTTGAAAAGAATAGGATATTGATTGACAATTATTTTCTTTACGAATGCTTATATCTGTCACTTGTACAAGTGAAGGTGTAGCATAATTATGTTCTTTATTCAATACTTTAACTATAAATGAAGTATTACTTATTTCATTTAAATCAAATATACGAAATTTTGAACGTTGTTCAGTGGCAGAAAGCATTTTAACTCCATTATATCCTGATCGAAGATCATCAATACCAGGCAAAAACTCAAGTTCTTGTGTTGTGGAATAAATGAAGAAAGAAGAAATCAAAATGAAATAGCCGATTAACATCTGAAACAAAAAATAAATAATTATGAAGAGTTATATTGTAAAATTCTAAAATGAAACTGTTGGACAATAAGTAGATTCATATGGATAAGAAAGATCACATATTACACTTTGTGGATGAAGACTATCTGTAACACAATATTTCCGATCTGCTGATGCGATTAATTGAAAATTGAAGACATTAATACAATTTGTAGTTAAAACTCTTCTTATATGAATGCCTTGTACATGTGTTTCATTGACATATCGTCCAGTATATGTCTCTGATGTTGTGTTACCATCGCATGTCGCAAAAAATTGGTAACCATCTTGACGAACATGAACTGGAAACCCAAATTCATCTAATGGTTGTACAATGCCAGTAAGATAATAACGAGGTATCCAATTGTTCGGTTCAACAGAACAACTTTTATTATTGCTTAAATAATATGGGTTTGATGATTTGCAATATTCAAGACGAGGACAATACTTATTACAAACATAGAATGATCGATAATCGTCTGGATTTGTATAGATAGCAGTAGAATTTGGACAATCAAAAGCATGTGTTTCGATAATATAACAAAACAAAACTAGAATAATAGTATTCTTCATTGTTTTTCACAATCAAATTAATAAATTTTAAAATGATCTACAACAAAAAAAAGAACTTATTAAATGAATTATTTAGAAAATGAATTTTTGTTTTGTTGTTTTGAAAGAAATTTATCAATATAAGACTTTAATATTTCTTACAATAATTTCCCGAATACTTTTCCGAAAGATCACATTTTGAACTAAGTGGATGAAAAGTTCCATAGTAACAATGTGCTCCATTACCAGTTGCTACTATACGAACATCGAATACAGTAATACAATGATTTACTAATTGATGTACTGTTTGAATTCCTATTGCATGTGTTTCATTAATATACCGTGCAATAAGTGTATAGTGTGTTGTACTTGTCTCATGTGTAATATATACACTGTACCCTTGTTGTTGAACAAATACGTCGGCATTTTCAGTAGATTTATATTGACCTGACAAATCATAACGTGTTTGCCAATTTGGCGGTTCTGGAACACATGTTTGATTAGTTCGTGTAAAATAAATTGCAGGCGATACACAATATTCAAGTCTATAGCAATAATTGGAACACACATAATAAGATCGATAATCATCGGGATTTACATAGACTCCGTTAGAACTTGGACACAAAAATGCATCATTTGCACGAATAATAAATGTCACTAGGAATAAAACAGCATACATATTGAGAAACAAGTGTTCTAATAGTAATAAATTGGACTGTATTTATATTACATAATTACTTCCTTATTCTTAAATATGCTATATGTCCTAGGAAAATTTATGCAGTTATTTATTGTACTGAAAAATATTCTCGTTCGAATAATTTTAAAGTGACGAGAAAAAAAAACGAATTACTTCCTTTTTATGAATAATTGAATATCTCATATAGAATAATTCATTTCTAGTTCGCCAAAAACTTTTGTATGTACAATGAAATATAATGTATGTGGAAAAACATAAATTTATGCAAACTATTTCTGGGTCATACTCAAATATAAAAGAATCAATCGAGCATATTCTTCATCTTTCTTTTCCGCATGAATAATGCTCATGAAAATAATGAAAAAACTGGTTTGCTGTAAAATATTTTATCCAATTATGAAAACACAAGGTACGTATGAATAATCAATATTTTCTGGGAAAGATTTAATGATGCATAATAAACTTGTATGCACAATTTTTTTGCATACTATTAATTCACTTCCTTCTTCCAAAACGTCTATTTTCACTAAAAACAAAAACCAAGTTTTTAGATAAACACAAAGAAGTGTCATTTAAGGTGTCTAATTTAAAAATGCATAAAAATACTTATCATTTTACAAAATTTCGAAGAGATCTAATACAAGTTTCTCAAGTTCTTGATAGTAATATTTTTGAGTCAATTGAGTAAAGAATCAAAAGAACAAACTGTAAGTAATAATACTTCCTACTACTTGTGTATATAGCTCGAAGAACAACTTAGTGGATTTTGACTAATTTTAGAAGTTGATAGATCATAGGGCCATATTTCATGTTCACATCTAACTCTTTTTCAAGCATCTGCTTGTTTGGATGACGGCAAAGAGTGTTTGAACCAAGTTCTATTAATAGAGACACGATAATCTTTTTAGAAAACTTCAAACGATAATAAATTTTTTAGATTTGTTTCGATGACGACGAAAAATATACAAATTAAAAATGTTCTTTACCTCATCTGAAGTAATACAGTGTTCTCTTATAAATAAAAGTACTACAAGATTCGTAGCTGAAATTAGATGGTAAAAAAAGTTTATGCACATAAAAGGTTCATTTTGGAGTCTCGTTTCTGAAAAACTCTTGAAGAATAATGTTTTAACATGTAGCGAAAATTTCTCAAGACGTATACAAAATTTCATGAAAATTCCATTCAAAATATCAGCAATTCGTTTTATAGGTGAGAATAGACAGTCTTAATGAGTCTAAACTTATATTTATATTATAGTAAAATTTGTTTTGCTGTTTGAAATCAAATGATTTGATGGCACATTCAATTCGATAGAAATATGTCAAATTTTCTCTTCTTAAATACTTCATAGAAATTGTGAAATGTACTATTTTTTATTTATGTAAAATAGAAATAAGCAAATTCAATAAAGCTGGGAGAAGTTAGAAACATTCAGCGAAAGGATTCATTCAAGAACAACCGATCAATATAAAAAACAAAAATTTCAACGAAATTATTTATTCAATTTTGATCCATCGTCGAGTTGAACGCCAACCACTTTCACGAGAAGAATCTTCTTTTTCCCATACAATATATTTTCGATTCCAACCAAGACGACCCCGATAATGATCTAATGAACGACCTGTTTCTTTTGGATATACAATAATCATATTTATTATACGACCATCATAACTTGCTAATGCTTTGCTATTATTAATGTTGGAATAACCAATTAATTGACCCATCTCAATACAAAATTCCATGCGATAACGATTATGAGGATAATCTTCCCATAAACCACAAAAAGCTATTAATTGCTCTTCATACTTGTCCATATCATGTAACTAAAATATTAATAAATAAATAATTGAATCTTTACAAAAACTCGACAATTTTCATTGTTTTCTTTATTTAAAGAAATATCAAAGATTGACGATACTTACACATTGTTCAAGAATATTAATTCGTTGAACAAGTTGTTGTTCTTGACTTTGGTCATTCTTGGACACGGGAACTGGTTGAGACGGCAATTGTTCTTTCTTCTTCATTGTTGAATCACGAGTCGATGATATATCTAAGATTGTTTTAATTTCACCAAGTAAATTATATTGACTAGATGTAAAATTCAATTGAAGAACATGCTCATCATGCCACATTTTGACCTGAACACAATTGTTTTGTATGCCTGTATGACCGAGTGAACTGCTATATTCGCCTATCTTATATATCTGCATAAAAGCAGACGAACAACAGATGAAATAGGCAACCGCATTGGTCATTGTGGGTCGACATTCATTGCCGCCTAGTCAATGCTTGACTTCTTTTTTTTGATAATGAAAATCGGCAGTAAACAAAAAAACAAACGTTATTAACTATGACAAAATATGAGAGAGCTCAGATAGAAATACTCGAATGTATTTGTTTTCATTTTCATGAACTGATTGAAACTAAAATAGATTACTGATGTAATGATATAGTTTACGTGAAAGTTGATAACAGACGATAAATGTAATGTATCAAATTATTAATTAAATGAAAACATTATATAAAAAATCAACGATTAAAAACAAAAACGACGAGAAAAATGTATTGAAAAGAATTCTCTGAGGTTTTAAGAAAAATATTTCAAGTTGTTGTTTCTTTTATTTTGTTCTCTATGTATGATATTAAGTCATTGAAATATCACACTTATCATAGTCATATATTCTTTAATCTCATACAATTGTTTAAGGTTGATTATTATCTGATATTACTAACATAAGTTCTTCGAATAAAATATTTTTTTTATCGTCGATTAATATAAATTGTATAAAGAGGGAAGGCCTATGATTAACATTCAATGATAAGATCAACTTTTACTGAACTATTCTCTATTGTAGTTAAACATATTAAATTCATTATTTCATTGAAATGAATTTCTAGAATCAGACTATATATCTTCGTTCTTTTTCAGCTTAGCGTCGTCAAATGAAATAACTAATGGTATTTTTTCGTAAATATGATTGCCATTTGATAACTAGCTGAATATTGCTAATCATCATAATTTAGATGGAGAAAATGTTTCGGTAATTCTGTATATATCATCGATCCTAGAATTTCGTTTGTCTATCTTTCCTTTTGATTGTTATCTTTCTCAATGATCACAATGTACCAATAGAATTTGATTGAATGAATATGATTATAAATGATGAATAGCGCTGTATACTGAAAAGCTTTTTACGCTGAAATAAACTCTTTTCTGTCAACATTTTACATCAAGTTGATACGTAGAGAAAAATGCCAGTTAGATTGATTTCTTTTGCATAAAGTTTGGCATGCAGTTAGACAGCAGCCAGTATGAGGCATGAATAAAATACAAGTAACTGAAACCATACTTGACTTTTAGTTTCATAAAATGACCATAAATTATATTAAGAGTTATTATTAATTATACAGATCAACGATTCATATCATCTTTATAAGTTTAAACAGAACTAAGATCGATCAAATGAATGTTTGATATGCATAATTATGCATATTATTCACAGTTCTTGTTGGAGAAATGAAGAAACATGTTAAGAGAACATTTTAATATGAAGTATGATTTCCTTTTTTCACTCATAATTTTTGAAAAGACAATAAATCAGAGGAAGAAAGTACACAGAAGAATAGGAGAAAAGAAATTTTTCTGTCTCTTGTTGATATTATAGTTAAAACAGTATGTTTGAGAAGTACAAACAGGCTATTGAACCTCTTCATCTGCTTGCCTGAGATATACAGAGCTCCTTGTTTTCGAGCTTATCACAAAATTTTCAATAAAGAACGTGATTCTTTGAGCAGTAAGTGTAAGTATCAGAAAATATATAGTGAACTATTTCAGCCTTTGGAAGATGAGAAATGAGTTTTTTATCATTTAGACTGGATGTATACATCACTAATTATACACTGTCATTACATTATTCATTGTAGGTGAAGCTATTTACTGCACTTACACATTCACACTTTCAAAAACAAAATAATACCATCTTGAAAGAGCTAGAGGACTTTTTTTCTATAAATGCTATCTGAAGTTTCAAACCATTCTATGATTTTTGATGAAACTTTTCACAACGAATTTTTGGATATTTTGATGATATTTTTGAAGTTCTGTTTAGAACTTAATTATCTCGATATTCATAGTATTTTTTATAATTTTTAGTAGGTACCATTATGGAAACGATTGACTTCTTCTAAAATTATGTGTCTCGAATATGGGAATTGCCTATTTCGAATTGTATTTTAATGAGGTTGCAACGGAATTATATGCTCTTGTGAGCTTCTAATGATTTATTTCGCTCCTCGTATTAATGCTTTATTTAATAGGTGTTTTTTCAATTGATGACGTGAGACGTGCTAAGAATATGATCATGGAAGAACAATATATACAAAAAAAGATGTAACTGAAACAGAAGACGAACATATGATTGTTTTTATTTATTTATTTCTCGTCTATAACAATCAAGCAGCTTAGATGATGATTAATATTCAATTTAATTTTTTCACGGCTGTTTCAATTGAGTACAGTTGTCTGATTGTTATCGTCAATAGGTAAGACTTGACTAATATTCAATTAATCGAAATCAAACTGGCCCTGATGTGGGTGTGTGTGTCTGTGTGTGAGTGTGGAGTATGGGTGTGCGGTGTAGGTGTTTGTGGGTGTGGGGGAGTGTGAGTGGGGTGGTGAGGGCAGGGGCCGCGGAAGCGGAGATGTGTGTGTAGGAGCGGGGTGTACATCCTCCCCAAAAATTGAAAATTTTCAACTTTTTCCAGCGACAACAGTAGATTTCCTGTACATTTTACTCTTTTCTGCGAAATTTAGTTACAAATACTCCCTTTATCCCCCCCCCCCCCCCCCCAATCGTAGGTCCTTCGCGCGGCCTCTGGGTGTGGGTGTAAGTAAATGAAAAAAACACTGCTACCCACCCACGCGCACACTCACATCCACACCAATACCCCGACGCACAGACTTACATCCACATCCCCACTTACACCTACACCCACATCCTCGAATTGTTAATAGATAATAAATTGATAAAAAAAAGATGTGCAATAATTAAAAACAGTAGTGTCAAACTTGAATTCAATTGAGTTTTCAACTTTCAAATTTCAAGTTTGGCACTGCTGATCCTTTCGCTGTACCCACATCAGTTGCAATGTGATATGTGTCGTTTCGTAGCCAGTTCTTTCACGGCACCCAACCAGCTATGATCAGCAGTGCCAAACTTGAAGCTTGACAGTTGAAACTTGAAAACTCAGTTGAATTCAAGTTTCCAGTTTCACATATATGAAAAAAAGCAAAAGGTGTGATTAAGGCACCTGAAAAAACCTAGAGCCGTCAATAAATCACTCTTGCACAATAGGCATGATTTGATAATCCGACGAACTCTTTCATTAACACTATGGTTTTGGGTCACGTCCTTGTTTAAAGCGTGGTCTTCTCTATCGATGACGATTTTGCATCTAAAAAGGGTGTAGGTGTGGAGCATTAGTCTTCTCATCACTCGTATCCACACTCAAATCCTTCCTATGCAACTCTTCCATTATCAAATCGTGACAGCTTCATATCAAGTCTATGGAAAGCTTAGTTTCCAGAGATTAACATTGATAACAAGTTTTTAAACCCTTTTTTCTGAATCTATTACATATGATTATTTTTACACAAACAAACATTTTCTCCATCTATGTAGCTCACTTCGAACAAAGACTTGCGCTTTTCGGAGAAGATCCAAAACTACATAGCCACCGAATAGAATCCATAAGACATTTGTTCACCTCTTTTGGTAACTTCGAAGCAAACCTTGCGCTTCAGTCAGTTTAATGAACATCACATCGCAAACAAACACTCATGATGATATTGCTCTTCATCTATTTAGTCACCTTCCAACTAAAGCCCGCGATGTCCCCAAAGAATCGAAAATTACGTGGCAACGAGAGATTCAGAACCAGACTTCTATTCTTATATTCAGCTCATGTCAGATTAAAGGTTCCAAATCTGTTACCTGATCTAATATCTTAAAGACAAAAAATATTCATGACCAGATTACTGTCTACCAATTTTTTTCACCTCCATACAAACGTTCACGCACCGTGACATGGTCAAACATCGCACGGCCGACGAACATTCTTCAAGAAACTTCTGCTCGCATCTTTTGCTCACTTAAAGCAAAAGCTGAGACAAGATCATTCCATCTCAGACCACACGGCAAAGCAACGTTCTCCAAGATGCTTCTACACACATGATGTCCTCACTCCCAAGCAATAGTTGCGGCACAGTCAGCTAATAGTACATCAAATGACAAACGAACATTCATAACAACCATGCTTCTGTTCACCTATTTTGCTAACTTCAAAGCAAACTTTACAGCTCACTCAGGTTAACGAAGATTACGTGACAAAGGAACATTATTCACCATAGACCTGTTCGTCTCTTTTGCTCACTTTAATGCAAAGATTGTGACTCAATCAAGTGATCGAAGATCTCACGAGAAAAGAGTACTCATAACGATACTTCTGTTCACTTCTTTCGCTCACTTCGATGTAAAGGTTGCAGATCGCTCAGTGGATTGAAAATCGAATGGCATCGAATATTAATCACCCTATTTCTGATCACCTCTTTCGCTCGCTCTGCAGAAAACGTTGGGAATAGCTCAGTTCATTGAAGGCTACATGGAAAGAATATTGAATAAGCACATGTTACGCCAGCGATCCATTCATCAATGGTAGTAAGTGTGAAGCACGATTTTCTCCACAATTATGAGTGTATATATTTCAAGTAACAAATGAATGACTAGGATCAATATCGTGCTTGTTTATTTTAATCAATCTGAAACAAATACCGAAACTTCTTTAGCTAACCGTCATTACCTAACTAATGAATAATCCTAACGAAAACTCTGTTCACTTATGTCATCTATGATGAGCCAGAATAGGTACATGGATCATAGTTCTTTTACTGTGGCATCGCCAATGAATATTGATAACCCAGAAAACGTTCCCAATATCGAGAGTTTCACTCAGGTATCTTCTATCATTTAAAGCAAAGATGATGCGTTGTTAAGTAGATAAAAGATCATAGGCTTATTGAATCATTCTCACCATTGTTCTATTCATTTCTTTTTTTTTTTAAATGAAGATTAAG